ATCCCAAATAAAGAGGAGGAGCAGGTGGTACTTATTCAGGTAAAATAGAAAAGACTCACTTTTCACCCGGCAGTGTCTTGGAACATTCACACACACTCCTCTGCACCTGAATCATCAGCTCATGTAAGTACAGGTATGGTGGAGAGAGGCATGATGGGAATCAGGATTTTAGGTTCAAGGTCACTTTGATAATTATTTAATAATTATTCATGTAGATAGTGTGGGTGTTTTGAGCTTTTAAGGACAGATAAATATGTGCAGAAAGCAAGTTCATTTCAGGAATGCATTAAGAAGGTGCTTTTAAATAGTAGTAGATAGAAAAAAATCATCAAAGAAAACCAAAAAGCAACGATGTAACGTTGAATGATAGCTGATGTTTCATAAATGAAGAATGAATGTTCATTTGTTCCTCTGCTTGTAGAGGGCATGTAGAGCTTCTGGCACATTTATGACATTCTGTTCATGTGTGCAACAGGAGTCACAGTTTGGGATGATTTTTGTCTTTCATTCATCCAACTTTGATTATTCTGTGTACTCTCCTATTTGATCATGATTAATTTTCATGTATTTTCTTAATTAAGACATATATGTCTAGCACACCATAGTTGAGAATGCAGTAAATGTTAAAAGGACTGAAATGAGATGTCATTTGACACTGAAATGTACCAGTTTTAACCGTGTCTCAACACAGCCACGAAAACGGGTGAAATCAAATAATCGATCTTATAAGGCACAAGCGAAAGGACACTGCTCTGTTCTGCTTGTTGCTGCTGCTTGTCTGAGAAGCTGGGAGGTATTTTAGACATGGAATTTGAATGACACCGGCTTAGTTGACCTTGACTAATGTCATGCTAAATGTTATTGTACTGCAAGAACCCTCTGACAAAGGTCATGATGGAAGAAACACAAATGGAATAATAATATGGCTCTGTATTATCTCTGTGTCCAAATGATGTTAATTTATTAAAAAGCTGGACACACAGTTTATCTGTGGAAGATGTTACAAAAAGAACACTGTTAAAATCAATTTAAAAAATATGCCTCAAGCCAGCATTTTAGCTTCTGACGTTGCAGCCATTTTTTTTAAAGCATGAAACGTCTTTTATCTTTTACTATGCTTGGTACAAAGAATGTGCAGGGTTGTTAAAAATTCAACCAGTGAATGGAAAATCTGTTTGAGCAAGACAGAAGCGAGCAAACAAGAAAGCAAAGGTGCTAAATTTTCAAAATGCTGTGAATCTTGTTGGCCCAAGGGTGTTGAAGGTCAGTTAGCAATGACACTGAGGTTGCTATATTTTGCACAAGGTCTTTCCTTACACGTCATACACAGGATTTATAAACGGTTATGAAAGAGAATTTTATGCACAGAGCTAGTTACTGCTAAACAAAGGACAATGTGGACAGTATAATCTTTTTTTTTTTTTTTTTTACATTTTGTTTAAAATGGGTTAGAGAACAGACTGTTGGCTTGTGTTGGTCTGCAGTGACCTCCAAAAAATTATGACCAAAAAAAAAACAAATTCAGCTTTAGTACTTTGGCCAAGTTAACAATAACACTTGCATATGTGTATACCTATTATTTAAAGTATAAATCTTATTCATATCTGTGTAAAGCTGTTTTTCCTCCATGAGAATGATGCATAAGACTTAAACTTTATAAAGTTACTAATAAACTTAAAGTTAAAAGGTTTAAGCAACTTTTACTGTAAAGCACATGACAGTGTTCGGCTGTGTGCAACGAAGATTTCTGCAGTTGAGTTTAGGTTGACGAAAAGACCTGCTGGGCTTCGCCCCATAACAAAAAATGATCCGCTGTTTACTCTCCAAACACCCAGAATGCAACCCTGCTGACAAGACTCTGACCTCTCGCACCACCAAGGACGTTCTTCCTGAGGAGAGGCCAAAATGAGCCTGTGACGCCTGTATGCATGTGTGTGAGAAACAAAGGAAAAGTTATGAGAAAAATGTCTCTCAATCATGTTTTCTCTCCCCCTCTCTGTGTTTGTGTCTTCTCTATCTGACTCAGCAGTGTTGACGATGGGAAATCTCACTCTTGTGGCTTTAATAGCAGGTAAATAAAACAGATGCTCTGCATTACTTCCAGAGAAAGAAATGACCAAGTTTTCTTATTTCTCTAAAAATGTTGACTATGATGTGACAGTACAGCAGAACACTGACCTCTTCATAAAAGTAACATTTTATTACTTCTTTCTTGTAGTGCTGTTCACCTTTTTCACGGAAACTGAAGCAAGTAAGGCCAAAACTCTTACCCTTCATCATGAGACTGGTTTGTCACTAGTTTGTGAATAAACCACACGTTAACTTCTTTTGTCACTTCAACAAAAGCTTGTTTTCTGTAACAAATCTTTTCACTGTGAAACTTTTACAAAGCAGACAAATCCCCAAAAGTGTACTCATTTTGTAACATTAATTATTCCTCTGTCAACTAGTAATAAAGGCATATCACAAGAGCAGATATGTAAGCCAGTTTGTTGCAGAAAAAGGATGATCAAAAAATCATGAATTCACCAATTTTTCTTTCTCCCCTTTCTTTTATCTCATTCTCTTTCTGTTGGTTCTCCAGATCCATTTGTATACAGTAAGTGCAAAACTCTTATTTCCTATATTTTACAATCTGCAGTTATAATCTCACTCATTTGTATGGATTAGAAAGATTAGAATAAATGTGTAAGTATTCACTTAGATGCCTCATGACAAATGTGCATATGGGATTATCAAAAAACTACGTTAAACATTTATCTTTAAAAATCTTAAATAAAGCATGAGTTGATTTCTCCATTTAAGTTGTTTGTTTGCGTTGGAATTTTTTGTCCTTTTTTTTTTAATCAGACTATGAAAGACTACGAATTGGAGGCCTGATCTGTGCCTGCATGTTAGTTGCTGGAGGAATCAGTGTTTTATTTTGTAAGTACTGCAATTACACATAAAAATAATACAACAAAATACAAAATTTTACAAACTTTTCCCCCCAAAAAAGTGCACTTTAAATTTGTTGAGACTAAATACATCTCTGTATGTCTTCACAGATAACCGGTGCAGCAGGAAGAACAAGTAAGATCTATTTTTGTCTTTTTCGAAAGTTTGTTGTTTGAGTTTAAACACGAGGCTCACAGCCATTTTTATTGTCTCTTTCTTCCCAAACTGCCATGTTAACTGCCGTCCCTCCCTCCTCTCTCACCTTGCAGAGCAGAAGATGACAGCAGTGAAATCTGATATCGTGCCTGACAAACCGGTTTCAGCCAGGAAGAATAGCTGACAAGGAAGAGGTGGAGAATTTGGGTGCGATGTGGAGGTGGGGGTTAGGAAGAAACACACCTGCTCAGGTGATTATACCTGTGCAGACCTGTGCAAAGAAACAACATTGATTTTATTCAAAAGATGAAGTGTTGCGGTAATATGCCGTCATCCAGCAGCAGCCTCATATATTTACATATAAAAATTAAATAATGAAGCCCCTCCCTATAATCTCTTCTTCTTTTAAAATGCATTCAGTTTGTCCAGACCTGTACTGATAGGTAAATGTTCCTGCCTGTAAATACACATGGAGCTGCACGACGTATTTAGACCATCTGAGATGTGCTGCTTAGCCTTTGCTGTAATGTTGCATAAACCTACTGAAATGGTCCATGAGGGATATAATGTAATGTTCAGCATCATCGCCTTCTGTCCATTGTGTGCTTTGCTGTATGATTAACTGTTAAATTAGCAATAATTATAAGAATTAGGGAAAAAAAACTATTTGTTGACTATCCGAAATTAAAATAAATGTCACTTCCTAAACAACATTTCCAATATGTCATACGGTGTTGTTTTTCACAGCTGTAGCTGAGATAAAATGGTTTCACTCTGCAACATTTACATAACTGAAAAAAAGCCACCTCACACAGCTGATAGTGAAGCCTGTTGCAAACATACTCATAAAACTGCCGTTGCATTCAGTAACTATTATTCTTCTGGTAGAACCTTATTGCAGAACCATTTCTCTGCTGTCGGATGCATTTCTACAACCACTGACTCTTCAACCACAGACAACCCAGTAGGTCTGACAAAGCAGAAAATGTTTACAGTTGTAGCAATTGAAAGATTTCATATTATCGTCATTACAAAAGTGTAACATGCATGTGCAGTTTATATGTAAGGACAGAATGTGTGCATGTCTTTAGCTGTCAAAGTGTGTATGATTCAAGTTTAGTTGTGTGATTTTTGTTGTACAGATTCTTAAAGACTGCAGGGATGAAACCAGACTCTGGAAACAAGTGATACAAACTGCTGAAAAAACAAATTTGATGCACAACCTGCAGCTACAAGAAAGAAATTTAGGTTGGATGCAGTAATGTGGTGTGACAACTTGGTGGGACACTTTGACACAAGATTCTTAGATGTATTTATACTAATTTAAAACAAACAAACAAAAATATAACTTGAGCAACCATTCCAAGCTTTAACCATTTGTGGAGTTATATTATAAGGTTTATTTTTATCTTTATGAGGTCACATGTGCATCTACATGGCAGTGTTGCCTGCGTATGCAAATTTTATGACCAAAATAAAAGTCACTATTTGGCCAACAGTGTGCTTTCTAGAGTTTATAAAAGGTCACTATTACTTTAATTTATTTTAGAGTCGGCCTCCTTTAAAATAACAAGCCTTCTTGGCCATGTTTTGTTTTTTCTGTTGAATGCCACAACTTACCGGAGATAATTTCGCTCAGTTTGTCAAACTTCGACATCGTTCTCGACCAGCAGACATGACAGCTCCTCTCCTCCTCCTCCTCCTCCTCTTCCTCCACTGGGCTTGCTGACTCCGGATCAGCCTCCACGCCCACCGGTCCCCCTCCTATCGCTCGCCTGCTCTTCACCAGAAACCGACCCGGGATCAGAATTAAAACTGGAGCATTTTAAACTCTGCCCCCTTTCAGTTTTTTTTTTTCTTTTTTTCTCTTTCTTTCCTAAAACCAAGCCAACCTGTTGAGTGTCACAGTGGTGGAAGCAGGGTGTTGGCGCACAGTGTGGAGGAAAGTCGCAGTTCTTGTGTCCGTCCGCTTGTGAGAAATTTCCTCGTGTTTTGTCGCTGCTGTTTTTTTGTTTTTTTTAAACCAAGTGTGAGGTAAGACATTAGCATTTATTACACGGAGCTTTGTTTTCTCTAATGTTTGTCTCGGCTGAAAGAAATGTTGGTTCCTAAAGTCCAAGTTTTGTCCTCCTCTTACTCGTGAATCTAATGTTAAGCTCATTTTAAGAACAGCGTCACGTCTGAAGTTAGTTGAAATCTGTGTTTCTTATAAACTGACTTGTTCAAATGTCCAAAAACTATCAAGAGGTCGAATAAATTCGCTAAACGTTATGTTTGTAGGTAAAAGTGTATCGTTTTTTTTAAAAATGAAAAAATTAAATACAGAATATAATGTTTGCGCTCGAGCCCACCGGTGCCAGGACAATGGAACGGCACGCGCCCCCGGGAGAGCGTGCGTAACAGCCTCACGCGCGTCTGTCTCCCTGTTTAAACTGCTTTAAGAGGAAAAGCAAAAAAAAAAAAAATTACTGTGAGTGAGTTTGTACTGTTGGACCTCTTTGAAATAAAATAAAATAAAATAATTAAATAAATAAATAAATACAATGTGAATACATGGCCTCACTTGTGTGGCAGCAGATTAATGAATCCCAGTTGGAGACATTTTACTCTTTAAGAACACATCATCTTGTCAACTCCAGTCTTCACGTGTGCATTTCTTTTAGTATGGACATGTTAAAATGGTGTGTGAGTGAGTGTGAGAAAAGGCCAGCTGATAAGAGCAGTGAGTGGTGATATCAGTTTGCCACCAAGTGCCACAAGGACAAATTAGGACAAGGACAGGAGCAAAATTCAACTGTACAGTGTAGAATTGTAAGGGTTATGTTTGTAATTTGTTGCAGCTATTTAATTTTGGCATTCCATTTGCTCACTTTAAAACAACCCCCAAAACTTTGTAGATGGTTGAAAGTGGGACTGCAACTGTTGATTATTTTCTTGATTAATTGCATGGTCTATAAAATGGCAGAGGTTTCTCAGAGTCCAAGATGATACCCTCAAATGTTTTGTTTTTTGTCCATAGATATTCAGTTTAATCTCATATACGAGTGAACCAATCATAACATATTCACATTTTAGAAGCTGGACTCCGTTTTTTCTTTTAAAAAATCACTCAAACCAATGAATTGATGATCCAAACTACTTGCAAAATAATTTAATAGTTGACAGTTGATTGACTGTAAGCAGCCACAGTCTTCTAAAAAGCTGTAAGTCACAGTAATCTTATGAAATGATTTGAGCAATCAGTTGCTTATCAAAGTGTCATCTGCATTATTGACTAATTCTTTTAGTGGTAGTTGAAGGGAGAGGTGCATTAAGGTGTTTGTCAAAAGGCCACAACAGCTGACTGATTATCAGAAGACAGTGACACATAACCTGTTGAAACTTCCCCCCTTTTTTTAAATCATCAATGTGTATCTGGGAGCCATGGCTGCAGATACAGACTATGGATGGATAAAGAGGAAGCTATAGGTAAACACAAGAATTGCAGCAATGTAACAAACTAGTCGATTTCCCACCAAAGTCCAGTCCTTATAATATGTTGTGGTCTGGACACAGGATGCTGCCTTAACCATAGATATGCTCCAAAGCTAATCTGTTCTGTTGAAAGCTACTCTAACTGCAGCTTTCTGGCAACTACTTAACTGTCTGGCTGTTGTGGTTTGTAAAAGTCCATGAACAACTAAAGTGAGCTCCAAACAGAAAAAAAACAGATGAGTTTATTGCATCTACAAAACACTTTATCACAATGAAATTCTGAATGCTCCTAGTCAGCTCCATGTAATGCTAATAATGATGCATAAATCCAGAAATCCGACCAAGAGCTTGATATAAATTACGCAGATGTTTCCAAGAAGATGCTAAAAACTAAATAAAATTGCACTTAGCGTGTTGCAGCAAGTGCAGAGACGGTCATAAGGCAGGAGGTGCTGCATGATAAGAGTCAGACAGGGAGAGGGGTGAACAAAGGTGGTGACACACAGAGTTGTCTTTCATTTCTCAGGTGGGACAGACTTAGCTCTTTGTCCTCACCTCTCCTCACATGACCACAGATCTTAAAAAAGAAAAGAAGAGGTGAGAGAGATGGATTAGAGGAAGGCAGAGCACTCTTAGGTGGCGCACTTTCTCCTCACCGCTGCTCGCATCACTTTGGTGGCTCGCCGACACAAATTTAGAAACCGCGACAAGAGGACATTGATTTTATATCAGAGATGTGACTCTGACCTTCGTGAAGCCACATACTTCTTATTAACAGCTCGGCAGAGACGGAGCTAATCATCTCTAATTCATCAACCTGAAATCAGCTGGCAGTGTTATTGAAACATGAGATGATTTAGGTTTTCGTACAAAGATTACTGGTGCGATACAAATCGACGCTGGACACATTAGTCACTTATGGACGGAAAGAGGGATGAAATGATGGAAATGTACTCCTTGCTTTTATTCGCTGCTGTTTATGACTGCAGAGTGGAGCATGAAGCCTGTTGCTATCCACTCGCTGCTAGACTTGCGGTTACCATGTGTGACTCATGGCTCTAGTATGCTCCACTCCCTCTCTGCTGTCTGTGTGTCCCTCCTCATTCCCTCTCTTTCCCAACCGCACTCTCCCTCGTCTTCCTGCCACCCATTCCCAGAGGCTTCAATCGTTCTTCCTCCACTTACTCCCTCTCACGTTCTCAACTACTTCCAAACTTCATGTCGTCTTTCCCTTTGCTCTACCAGTTTGCTGCCTCTGCCGATTCCCCACCTCGTGCCTCTTCCTTCCTATCTCTGTTGCTTATTGTTTCCTTTGACACACCGGTGGAGTCGATACTTAAAAATGCATCTGTTAAAACTCATCTTTCCTCAGCGTCAGTAGCCGTTACCACCAAGCTCTTCAGCTGCCACAGAAAAAGACAATTGTTTAATATCTCGGAAGTACATCTGAGGTCACATGCTTCCTCAGTCACATTTCCAAGCCATCGCTTTAGGAGAAACATCACATACTTTAGTCATAAAATGACAAAGTCCTCAGTGACGAAAGGTTAAGTTTGTCTCAGCTGAATAAAAGCTAAGTATTCAGGCTACTTCAGTTTGTGTTGGCTGTGTTTAGTCCACAACAGAGACTTTCCTGTGTGTGTGTCATAAAGGATGTGTTACACTCTGGAATGCATTGCTTCTAATTTAGGAATAAAAAATGGCACTGAGAATAGGCAGCTGTCTTTGTAGTGCAGTACAGAAACACACCAATGGCCAGTGTTCAAACAGGTGGGTGGGGCGGGGGTGTTAGAAAAATAGAAACAGTCGCTCATACATGCTGTAGTTACACACCACGTCTCGTAACGCACGCAAAGTAGAGGAAGCAGAAATTCAATCTGATATGAAGACGTGCTGCTTACATACAGTACATTGTGTAAAATATGTTTCTGCCTGACATGTTGTGTATGTTTCTCATATGCTAACATTATACAGATTCACATGACACTTGGCCCCGTGGCTCTAAACATGAGAAGCAGCTTTAATCATAATTGAGAGGACACGGCATTTGGTTGCTGTGTTTGAATTCAGAAGAACAACGCTGTGTTGCTAAATTGCAGTGGAGGAGGCTGCAGTTTCAGGACCGTGTTTCTAGGACCCTCGCTTTTCACAAACGCTCCACCTACCAAACGTGGTTCACTGAACTGAGGGCTGCATTTCAGGACAAGATGCATGACAATCTGAACAAGCATCAAGCTTTATTTTTTTTGTGGGTGGGGGCTGTGCTTGCTTGTTTTTCTTGCCATCTTGCCTCGCCTTTAAAATATCTGTTTGAGATTTATTTATCACACAAATACAACAGATGAATCCTTCGTTATTTAACCTGACAATTACACTAAATAGAAAAGTTTCTTAATATGCAACTTAATTACATATTACTATTTGGGTAGAATAAACCTTTAAAACCATAACTGCTTGGACAATTTTGTATCTTAAGTGGAATAAACCTTTAAACCCATAAGTCACAGATTTGAGCAATCATCCAGTTCGGTAGGTGGTCGTGTTGTGAAAAACAAGGGTCCTGGCAGTGCAGCCTCGTCTTCTGCAGTAGCATAATTTGGTAAAAAATTACACTCCTATGCGACTAACCAGCACTCTCATTTACGTTTTGAAAGGAACATGTGTTCTTCCCAAAAGTGACATAGTAGGAAATATTGCCATTCTCAGCAAAGTCTAGGTTGTTGCTGTTTCATTCACTGGTTAGGTTTACCACCAAAACGACATAGTTAGAATACGGAAAACAGCAGAGTTTCACAAAGTGTTGGAAGCTTCTCCTCCATTTTCTGGGTTACTAAGAAGCGATACTAAGGGGGCGTATGTTGAGCAGATTTTTCAGCGTCACAAAGGTGTCTCTCTTTTAACCTGCAAGATCGCTGTAGTAACTAATGCTGCACAGCTAACCTGCTGTAGGAAATGTCTCCCTTACTCCTATTCTTTTCCCCAGCTTTCCCCTCAGCTCATTCTGAACGTGTTCATCTGCAGATGCTGGATTAAACTCGCAGAGTGACGAATATTTGACCTCGAGCTTTATTCGACAGAAATTGCCACCGCAAGATACAGGTTCTTACCAGGGGGAGTGCATTCTGTCTGCAAACTTGTTGAGCCGTATGTTAGTAATGCCGCTGAACAAAGCCGTGTAGTCACAGGTGTACAAACTGCACGCATCCCGTTGCCATGGGAACCTACATGCATTCAGTTGGTGATGCTGAAAATGCATAAACACTTGTCTGTCGCTTGTCTCTCTGTCAGTGTGCACCGTGAACAAAAGAATGAAAGAACGAAAGAATGTAAACAGTAAAGAGAGGGCCAGCTCTAATGTAGTTGGTGACCTCTTGACCTTTAGGGACACTAGCAAGGAAAATAATCACATGTATGATAAAAATGTAATAATACGACAGACAGCAGTCCAAAGAGGAAGCTTGTCTCTATCTTGACAGTTTTGCCACAAAATTTCCCGAAATTTAAATTTGTTAGTACAATTTTTGAAAGAAGTATAAACATGCTAGTACAACCTGAATACTTAGATTTGCTTAAACTTGTTAAAATTTTGCCGAGACCCACCGTCTGTAGTGGATACACACCTGATTACGTGACTGACGGGTGCTTTGCTGCAGTTTATTGTGCAACCTCACTGTCAAATAAGAGAGGAGCAGAAAAGGGAGGATGATTATGGGTGTGAGCATAGAGCTTAGAGAGCCAGTGCTCCAGGGAGATTGTAAGGAAGGGATAAATGAGTAGAAAACACTTAACAAAACGAGAGGAGATTGGGCGAAAGAGCAAGGACGTGCAGAAGTGTGTCAGAAACTGGAACTAGCGGAGGAGAGGTCTGAAGAGGCTGGAGAGGATATGGAGAGGAAAGAGGAGATTAGTAAAAGCAGACGAGCGGTGTGACACAGTGGTTTCAACAAACAGGCGATTTAATGCTAACAGACAGGCAGAGAGAGAGAAGACAGAATGAATGAAGCAAAGAGTGTGAAGAGACAAAAAAGTGAAAGAACTATCCCAAACACAAGAAGGGAAACAGAGATGCTGCAAGAGCGAAAAACAAAAAAAAATGAAGGATGGTTAGAGACAGGCAGAGCAGCGTGGCAGAGCCAGAACAGAAAACTCTTTATCCCTGCACCAGGCGGAGTAGGAGAAGTAGCTCCACGGGGAGTTTGTGCCGAGGGAAAGAGAAACTAGCTATTAAATATGGCTCCTCAGCAGTTGTTTGGCCATATTTTTTACAAAGCTGAATGTGGCATGAAGCTGTTATGCCAAGATTTTGATGTTTCCAGCATCTCCATTGTGGGGATTTGTTGCTTTTCTTGGTCCTTTGCTTTAGAATCCTGAACACTGCAGAGCAAAACCAACAACAGAAATAGTAATTAAACATGAAAATAATGGGATTCAATCAGCATTTAACTTTTTAATGCTCTAAGAAGGTCTACCATTTGATAGTGAATGTTGTGTTGCAGTGCTGCAAATATCCATTATTGTCATTGTTGAACAACGTGTTTATGATTTACTTATTAAATCTGTAAAATGTCAGAAAATAGTGAGCAGTAGCTGCCTATTTCTCAGAGCTAAAAAAAAAAATTTTAAAAAAGCAACACAAAACTACATATGGGCGCTCGGATAGCTCAACGGGTTGGGCGAGCCCATGTTTAGCCCATGTACAGGCCTATAGTCCCTGCAGCGGCTGTGGTTCGATTCCAGCCATCAGAATTTGCTGCATTGTCCTTTCCCCACACTTCTCCCCATGTTTCTCTGTCACTCTTTCACTGTCCTATATTACAGGCAGAAAAGCCCCCAAAAAATCTTTAAAACAAAAAACATATTTACAACTAACTGAAATATTGAAAAAAGGCAAATACCTGAACATGAGCTGCTGGAACCAGTAAATATTTGGCTTTTTATTTTTTCCCCCCCTTGAAACATCATTTAAGTTATCAGTTGACTATCAAAATTATTGCTAATCAGAAACTATTTCATTGCCAAGTAGGTTTTCACGTACGAGGAATTAGACTTTTTAGTGTTTTACTACATAGCAGTAAGCACTAACATGTCCTAGAAGATGAAAAAAGTGTTGCAAGTCAATAGACGGTAAATGTTACAAGTCAAATCAGCAGCAACTTCTTCAATTTATCGATTTTGTGCTCCTAAAAGAAAGCGGGCCTTTTCTTTCCTGTAATTATTGTTTAAAAAATTTCAGCGCCACTCTCAGCACTCAGCTTTACAGGCATGCATACTTTGCATCTTACTTCTGTGCACCAGGCTGCTGTGCTTATTTCTTCTCCACCAGACATAAACACAATGATTTGAATAAACGCCTCCAGCAGTCAGCTCCTGGCTCCGCCTAATGCAAACATTTGCTTTAGAATATGATCTTCAGATAAGAACAGGGAGGAGCGCTTTTCTCTCTGCTGTATTCTTTTGTTTCCTTCTTACTTTATCTCTCCTTCGTTTAACCTTGCATCAGTCTCACCTTCAGTTTGCCCTCGTTCTCCCTGTGACTGTCTTTCTCTCTCCTGTTCCTGCCTCTCTCTCTCGCTCTGTCTGTCTGTCTGTCCGTCTGTCTTTCATGTGAGGTAAACTATTCTCTGGTGGTTGTTGGCCTGTTTCCCATCCTCTGCATTCCCCCTGCCTCGCCTTGGGTTGCTGTGGGGAGGCACCAGGAGAGAAGCACTCGTCCCGCTCTTCTCTTTCTCTCTCGCTGCCAAGCTCCAAATACCAGCAGCTTGAAGAGGCAGACACATGGTTTTACTTACGTCCTTTATTGTGTTCTCTAAGGTCACTCTGGGTTTCTTTCACACGAAAATGCAAGACGGTACTAGAGATGCAAGTAGTAGATTAGAAGATTATTTTTGTCAATAAAATGGCAGTAACAAGTGAAAAAATACACCTTTTATTTTCTTCAAATGTCTTTTTCTGTCTAAAATAATCATATTACTATCATGTGTGACAAAGAAAAGACGTATTCGAGAAACTACAAACAGCATATATTATTTTTTGACTTAAAGAATGATTAAAACAACCATTCATTTATTAAAATAGCTAATTTGATGTTCAACTTCTTCATTAATCGACTTTTCACTAAAGATCAACTAAAGAGTCATTACTGTTACACCTTTAAAGTCGCTGTATTTCATCGTTAAATCTACACAGGCTTTGATTTTATAGCTTCATTTACACCTTTACTTTTAATTGTGTGGCCTTCAGTTGATATGAGAAATTTAAAGATGGCAAAATTCAAAACTAAAGAAAACAAACAAACAAAAAAAACCAATGAGGACAGAGTAAACTGTAGCTGCAGGAGGGTTTCGGGACAGTCTCAGACACACGCGGTGAGTAAAATAATTAGACTAGTTAGTCCAACGCTGAAGGTGACAGTTCAGGGTGTGTTCACATCCCCAGTCAGTTAACCCAACTTGAATTTGATTTCATCCAAACGGTGCATTTTTATGTATGAAGCATGGAATGCCCAAATGTACCTTTGTGTAAATGTCAATAAAATAGCCATGGGTGTGTTTTGCTCTTTACCATGGTGCACCCTGAATGGAAAAGCACAGTAAGTGGAAAATCACTGCTGTGTTAGTTAAGGTGTGTCACCTCCTAGTGCACATGGTACCTCTGCTGCTGCTGCTGCTGCTGCTTCAACATGGCAGCGAATGCAGCATGGAGCAATGTGTGGAATACACAGCGTCCTGAGCTGCTGGCAGGAAATGCATTTGTTCATTAGCGATTATATTAGTGTAATGTAAAAAAAAAACATCACCATCTACACTCTCATGTTCTCTAAGAAAAAAAGATTAAAATAACATTTCAGACAGAATTCTGTTCGTCTGCACGTGAAAGTGAACCAAAATGCCACACTAGGTGACCACATATGCGTAAATGTGTACAAATTACACGTTACAGATAGTGGAATCACTCTGTAGTAAAATATTAGGTTACCACCGAAGCAAGAATATAGAAGCTTTCAAGCTTTTACATGGCAACAGTGTAATGCAGTTACCAAGAGAGATTTAATTCTCCCGTTAAGGCCCCATCAGAGCACTTTGTGCCCATCAACATCAGCTCAAGTTTCTGTGAGCACACGAGAGAGAGAGACCACTTTGTGCCTGTTTGAATTTGATCAGATTTCCTCGTCTGTGCTTCAGAGGGAACGGATGCATGTCATGTCAGAGCGATGAGCGGCTACGTCTTTGTGTGTTTAAGTTCTTTTAGTGCCCCTCAGAAAACACAGAAAAGGCCCAACGTTGCATCACGTCTCTGTTGACTTTGTTGGCCAGTACGAGCCAGTTCGGAGGATTGTAATCGGGACTCACGTAGATTATCGTTCAAATGGCCAGTCGGTTTGAAGATGGCGTTCTCAGTCTGCAGCCATGTGCGAGTCGAAACATAACAGTGCAAACGTTAACACAAGTTGTAATGTCTTATTTACTGAATGCTAACTGAAGCTTGTGTTTTTCTCCAGAGCCTCAAGCGTGAAGATGTCCAAGTTCAGTGCTTTGGTGTTGATGACACGTGAGTAAAAAGTCTGAATCACAACAGGAAAAAAAAACACACAAAGTAATATTAAATCACTAAGACCCTTCAGCTTCGCTTCCTCCTAACACAGGAAATTGTGTCTCAAGGCCTGTCTTCCATCAGGACTTTGCAGAAATATTTAGACTTTGAGGACTCCAGATAATGTGTTGGAGGAGAAAGTAGACAGCAGAGTGGATGAGTGGTTACACAGATCGTCCTGTCACTGGCTGCCCTTTCAGTTATGATTTGATTAATGCGTCCTGAAGAACATACTGCAAGAAATCAGATGACGAACACTGTAAGATGCTTAAAGAAGTGCAGGAGAATTACAGTTTGGGAAAGGTGACTCTAACAACATCAACTTCTTCAGGGAGAGGATAAGAAAGAAGGGAGATGAAAACAAGACAGGTTTATGTAACATTTTTTAAACAGCTCTGGGTTTCCAAAACACATTGCAGAGATTTAAGAGCTTTTTAAGGTGATTTATCCACTGACGCTGACATTTTTCATCCATTCTAGGAACCAGAAAGTTTCAGTGAACGTAATAGTAAAATGAGAATGCATAAAGTCACAGTGAAATCAATACGTCTTTTTTTTTTCTTCTTTACCAAACAGTTTAAATAACAGAAATGTGATGTTTTCTAGTCAACCCTCATGATTCCTGTTCAGCAGCATCACTCAGGTGCTGTTACACAAAGATAACTAGTGTGTCTCTGTCTGATTTTCTGCAGTTGTGTCTCTGGTGTTTGCGGAAGAACAGAACCGTAAGTACACAACTTTAACTTTTTCACAATCAGTTTGATTTATTGTAATGTTTGAAATGTATTGACCTGGTGGTTAAGCATGTCAATAATTAACAAGTAGGCCACTTGTCATACTTTGTACTGTTTGCTTTGTGATGTCAGTGGTCAGTGTGTAGATGTTTCTGTGTCTGCGGTTTTGTTTACTGACCCGATTTATTTCTGTCCCTGCAGCTGAAGATGACCCCTTCACCTTTGGTAACCCACTTATTTGTTTTACTGCTGTTATTTTTGAGTTAACAGAAGTAGGAAGGTGATATGTGCCATCAGCAGTTATTTGAATGGCTACACAAAAGAGGAAGTACAAAAGAGAACTGAAACTTTTATATACTGCTGGCTAAATTAGCATGTTACACTTCAACACTTTATAAACTCAGTTATTCACACATTGATTTGGGTTTTGTGTAATAATCTTGTATACGTTTTCTCCTTCCCTTCTTTTGGTAAAAAGGGGTAATGTGCTCGTATCTTCCATGATTCCATGACTGTAGGGCTGCACATTATGGCAATATATGACTGAGTGATACTGAGATCATGATTCTTCATTTAGTTAAGGAGAAATTGTTTTATTATACTTTCACTTCAAGCCCTCTGAATCCCAAAATCTGCCTGCAGGTTTGAAAGGCAAAAAGACACAATTTATGAGCCAGAAACAGAAAAGATCACCAGTTTTTCTAACTGTACTGTTCTGTTGGGATTGTAGCCAAATCCGAGCCAAGCTGAGCAGATGGGAGACAAATATGGAAACAGTTTCGAGGTCTAAGTAGTAAAATATCTGTAGTATGTAGAGTCACCATTTTTTTCCACTCTTGGTGGAAGACACCTGTGGGCACTTGGAAAATTAACTTTAACTTTCCTTTTATGAAATATGGCATTTTAACTTTATATATGTCGTACTGAAAAAAAACACATTCGTTTCTTCTTTTTTAGTGAGTTGTGGCACGGAAGACATTTTAAAACAGTTAAATAAACAGTGTAATGCATTCACTTCCATGTTATGCTCAAGTTCTACTAATGTACAAATCTTTGCATCCAAGTAAGACCTAAAAAAAGGTTCTTCAAAAGGTTCTTCTTCACCTGAACTCAGTGCATCTCTTGAGGGGGAAACATAAATGAAAGTTTATCCAAAAATGTGGCCAAGTTGAAACCAAATGATTTGGTCTCTGTGGGCTGTTTTCTATGAGCAGATCACGCATTTTCAACATCAATATCAGTGTCGATGATGGTCATATATTTGTGGGAAGCCATGATCATGATTGAAATTCGATTAACGGAGCAGCGCTACGTGACTCTAATGCGTTTCCTTGTGTGACAATAAACATGATCTGTTTGTGCAGACTACCACAGACTGCGTGTCGGAGGCCTCATTCTAGCTGCCGTCCTCTGTCTCATTGGCATCACCATCCTGCTCAGTAAGACACAGACACACATTCTTACCCATATATATGTATAAATATATATATGTAATCATAAACAGACTTGAATAAAAGACACACAGACTTCATAAAGAAATGCTTTTTTTCTCTTGTTCTAGGTGGCCACTGCAGGTGCAAGTTCAACCAGGACAAGAGGTGAGTGCTTCATACACTAAGAATACTTGTGCAACTGGAGCGGAAACTCAAAAACCAAGCACATTTTACAGTTATTGCTATATAGTAAAAGCAACATCTGTTGTTATTAATTTACTTTGTCCTCTTACATCTTTGCAGGAGGAGGACAGGAAGCAATGCTCAGCAGATGCTCAATGACAAAGGTAATCTATACTCAACTCAACAAACCCCTTCTATGCAACACTGAAGTCTGTCCAAAAATCCAAATCCACTTCCAAGATTATGCTAAAAAAAAAAAAGGTGTTCACCTCATTTTACTGTCTCAGTTTGACAAGAATACTTCTAACTACTTAAAAAAAAAAAAATTAAATTGTAGTTAATGTCAACAGAAAAGCTTGTCACAGCTAAAACAAGTCCAATTATATTTGTTTCCCTCTAAAATTGCTCTATATATGCCTTGAGTTATAATTTGATTGATTTAATATTAGATTGTATGTAGACTTGCATACAGCTTCTTTCCCACCGCAATATTCAAGATTTCACCACCCACTCGGCGTTGTGCCACGTTCTAAAGTTATATTTACATCAGTCCATCTGCTTCCCTGTTAACAGCCTCATGTCACACATACTGACACAGAATAGAAATCTCTGGTGGTGCTGGACTGAGATGCCGCGGAGCTCACTGTTCAACAGGTGGCGGGACTCTGGGTGGCGGGTGTTGTTACAGGCAACCATATTGCAGTTTGGTGTTGTGGTGCAGTCACAAAGGACGCCCTGGTGGGTTATGAAATGGCACAAAAAAACCAAACAACCCGTGTTTGTATCGCGCAGTTAAATGTGTGGTCTCGAGCCAATGTAGCCTGTGATGACACCGATGATAGCAGACACTGCTGGAACACACAGCGAGGGTTATTTTAGCAGCATTATTGTAGATGAAATACACAGGTGGCCCGTATGGAAAAACACAGTGTGTGTGAGTGTAAGCAGCTCAGCAGGAGCCTACAGGGACATACTGCACTGAAAGGCCGTTTCCACTTGCATGGATACACACAAACACAGACTCTTTCTGCTGCTGATTCTAACGTAATGACGAGCAGCGTTAATTCTCTGTGTCAAATCTTGCAGTGGATTACAATTCTTTGATGACTGTGACAGTTTCTCACTTCTCATGATGAATTTCAGCCTCTGACATTTCATTGTTTTCAAAATTCTCGCACGTCATTAGTCACTTCAGATATTCTCATGACTGTCACAAGATCCTGTTTGACCGTTGCAAGATCCCGGGAATGCTAAAAAAAAAAAAAAAAAAAAGAAAGAAATACATATAAAAGTGGAACATGAGTAATTAGTTCAGTCACAATATTTGCATAAATTAAAAATTATGAATTACTGAAGAAATTTTGCTGCAAAGGAAGAGTCACTTTGTGTCACATCCAGTTCTTTTTTTATTTATTTCCTGTCTTACTTTGGCATTTCCTGTTGTGCTTTCTGCCACCTCTCATTTAGTTGTATGTGTCTTGACACTCACTGGTCTTTGTCTGCTTTACGATTTTTTGTTATCTGTAGTGAATAAAATTGTGTATTTGATCCAGTCTGGGATAAAGTGATGTAGAAATATCTTAAAGTAAAAAATTCTCTTTTTGCCATGTTGCATTAACTAGAAAACTATTCACCAGAACTGTGAAACTCACTCTCCTGCGTGTTTGTGCGCCAACAGGTCGAGCCTGCGACTGCTAGATGTCGACCAGAATACAACAACTTCCCAAACCTGCAACCGACAGACAACACAGAGGAGCAGCCGTGGGATTCGCGCCACCCAACAAGAGATGCTTTTGTTGTTTATTTAGGAAGATCCAACAGAAAGTAGTCTGAGTGCACCTGACGTGAGGTGTGAAGCTTTCTGCCTGATAACTGAGCTACTGACCTGCAGCCTGCACCTCTGCACAGACACTCAGATGTACGTTTGTCACTTTTATTTCAATCTATTCTTAGAAGTGAAAAATCTGGACATATAAACCAGCTGTGGTTACCCAACCTTTTGAGATACACAACAGAAATAAAATGCTTCACTGGTAAATAGTTTTTTATTGATTGAAGTGAAAGTGGCTTAATTCAATAATAACACAAACCTGTTACCAAAAAATAAGTGTCCACATACTGTAGGTTGTGCCTCGCTCTACTTCTCCTGGTCTGTACTGTATATGTAAGGTAAAACATTGATGTAGATATTAGTCGCTTACTGTGACCAACCTAACCCACTGTCACTGCTTTCATGTCAAATATATGAAATCCACGTAGTCGTGAGTAATCAGAGGGGTGTTGGTAATTCATGAGGATCTGTTCATTTCCATGTTTAGCTTTATGGAGGAGTGTAGTGGATTGCACTGTTCAGAGTCATGTTTCTATAAAAGAACTGTCGAAACAATTGAGTTGTGACTTTTTTTTGTCTATTAGAGTGTGTGTGTGCAGTGTGAGGAGAAGCAGTGGGAATGAAGGTTTTCTTGTGTTGGACTTTTTTTTTTTTTACTTTTCAGATGAATCCTCACAATATGGAAACACCATAAAACTGATGAGAACAATCCTGCAGTTCATAAGGTTGAGCTATTTCTTAGCTGGAAACAGGCAATCTTTCAAAAGAGTAAAATTGTCTGCAAAGATTGAATGCATCCTTTATCTTTCGAGGGCAGCAGTGAGGAGAGAGGATCTCTAATCTAGCACAGTGAATGTTTCGGGGTAAAAAAAAAAAAAATATATATATATATATATATCAAATTAGAAAAACCGCCTTAAGGGTGTGTGTCTCTGAATGATGGCCAAAAAAGTGTGTTTTTGCAGAAAGATGTGATGTTATAGTGAAGTTGACCTTTGACCTTTTGAATATAAAATCATTATTTTCATCATCATTTTATTTCTTTAGACATGTGTATAACCAGGGCTGCAGGGTAGTGCAGTTGGTAGCACTGTTGCTTTGCAGCAAGAAGGTTGCCGGTTCGCGTCCCGGTGGGGGCAACGGAATCTTTCGCGTGGAGTTTGCATGTTCTCCCCGTGCAGCGTGGGTTCTCTCCGGGTTCTCCAGCTTCCTCCCACACAGTCCAAAAACATGTTGAGGTTAATTGGTGATTCTAAACTGTCCGTAGGTGTGAATGTGAGTGTGCTTGGTTGTCTGTCTCTAAGTGTAGCCCTGTGATAGACTGGTGACCTGTCCAGGGTGTCCCCTGCCTTCGCCCTAAGTTGGCTGGGATAGGCTCCAGCCCCCCCGCGACCCCAGTGAGGATCAAGCAGTGTATAGACAATGGATGGATGGATGTGTGTAACCTTCTATTACAATTAGTCTGTGAATTCCTAAGTTTGAACTAAAACCCCTGTTTAGTGAAGTCACAGTGACTTGACCTGTGACCTTTAAAATCCAATCAGTTCATCCTTGAGTCCAGTGTGAAAAATCTGAATCCAACAAGGCATTCCTGAGACAAACTGAATATCATATAAAGCTGCTAACAATAGTAGAGTACAAAGAAAAATTATGACTACTTAGGATGAAAGTTCTGCTTTGTGGCCAGACTACTTGACTCTGGCTCCATCTAGAGGACAACATCTAACGCACCCATTTTGTATTTTCATACTCCTCCAGCCAGTCAGGTGAAGCCTTCCAGCAGCTATCTGCAGTAATTATGTCTCTCCACAGACCCATAATGTTCCAAATCCCTAATGTAAATGTGTTGTGGTGACTGTAAACCATGTGAGTTCTGGGAACTAATGTCTAATCTGTTTTCCCGCCATTTCCCAAAGACACAAAACAATCTTTGCTGCTGCTTTTTGTTGTTGTAGGATTAAAACGGAAAAAGGGCCCTGTGTTTTGTTTAGCTGTTCTGTCGTTTTTGATTTAAAACAGATCAATTTAAAAAAGCAACTATTTTTTTGTTAGTTTAAAACTGAAAGATGAAACTGGGCCCATCTTTATTAATTGTTGTTTAAGAATGGAAAAAAAAAATTGGCTCATTCCATTTTTATTTTTTGTTGTTGCTTTAAAACGAAAAGATTAGACAACACCAAACCAAAAACAAAGTTTTATTTTCCTTTTTTTTTTTTTTTACATCTGATTTTTAATGTTAATGGACACTCGGAAAACAGAAAGATGCACCTGTTTTCTCAATTTCTATTGCTGGTTTAAAATGTAAAGATTAAAAACAAAAAACTAAACAAACAAACAAACAAAAAAACATGCGCCTTTATTGTTTTTGTTTTGTTCTATTTTGGGAACAGAAAAACAAAACAATTTTTTGTCGTTTTTCTTGTTTGTTTGAAATAGAAAAATTAAAACAGGACCCTTTTTCTGCTCTTTTTTTTTGGTTGATGGTTTAAAATGGAGGAAAAAAAAAACGTCCAGGTGCTTTTATACTGAAGGTCTTCGGATTACTATGACCTGGATGACAGAGAATCTACACAGACTTTCAAAAGTGATATATCAAAAGAGTGGACACATATGGAAACTTTCTTCGTGTTTAATTTAACCCTCTCGAAGTCAATGTCGAAGATGGCGGTGCACATAGACGCAGCGGCTCCTCCAGGAGACAGCAAGAGGGACAGTTTTGAGTGTCGTGCCAATCCTAGACGTTCATTCTGCAAAACTTACAGCCAAGTTTGCTGAACATCAGGGCAATGAACGTTGCTAAAATTGCAGCGCTCCAGTATGACTGTAAACAAAGGAGGACAAAGAGAGCAGGGATCCATGATAGGCTAAAGGCTAGTGCCTCCAGACCAGCAGGATGTCTCTGGGTCCTGGACTTTCTGACCGAGAGACCCCAGTCTGTCCAGGTCGGAAAGAACATTTACAACTCCATCACGCTGAGCACTTGCTCTCCCCAAGGCTGTGTACTCAGTCCACTGTTGTTTACACTGCTAACACACGACTGTGTAGCCACACAAAAGGGGATCCAGATCATCAAGTTCGCTGACGACACCACAGTGGTGGGACTCATTCATGGGAATGAGGAATCAACGTACAGGGACGAATTGAAACACCTAGAAGGCTGGTACAGAAAGAACAACCTGCTGCTCAACGTGGATAAAACGAAGCAGGTGATCATCGACTTCCGGAAGTAACCCTAACCTGAGCATGGTCCCCTCAGCATCAGCAGCTGCACAGTGGAGAGAGTGGAGAACATCAAGTATCTCGGAGTGCAGATCACGCAGGGCCTGAGTTGGAATAATAACACCTCACACCATCCCAGCAGAGACTGCATTTCCTGAGGGAGCTGAAACAAGCCTCTCTCCCTGCCAGCATCCTCAGGACTTTTTACAGAGGTGTGGTAGAGAGCGTTCTGACATACTGCATCTCAACATGGTCCTCCAGCTGCAGTATGTCCAACAGAAAAGCCCTGCAGAGGATAATTAGACGAGCTGAGAGGGTCATCGGCGTTTCCCTCACCTCTGTCCAAGAACTTTTCCAGAGCCGCTGCAGGAGCAGGGCACTGAACATTGTCAGGGACTCCTCACACCCTCTGCATAAGCTGTTTGAACTGTTACCATCAAGCAAACACTTCCAGAGCATTATAGGAAGAACTTCCGAACTGATAAACAGCTTCATGCCACAAGCTGTCAGAATGCTGAACTGCTTATCCAGATACGCACACATCAGTCCATGAGGTCACTGAACTGTTGTGCACTTTAAATTATAGGCTGCTGCTATGGAACCAACAATTCAACAATTTGTAAATCCTGCCACTTTGTAAATACAACGTTTTAGGGATGTTAGTATGTGTGTAGGCAGGAGGCGGGTGGGTATGTGACTGCATAAGTGTTAGTGTCTTAACTTCATTACTTAAAGTTATTGGACCCTGGAGAAACACTCTCTCATCTTGGCTGCACTGCTGTTGTATATACAACAAATTGACAATAAAACTTGATTTGATTAATTTGTAATTTTGCTGTGGAGCCCTGCTGCTGATTTTACTCATTGCACTGCAAAACTACTTTTCTATTTTTATTGTCGATCCTGAAGAATGATGATTATAATGAACAAACTGATTGTTGATAAACATCTTGTTTAATATTTTTGTACATGCAGTGCATTGAATTCATTGTATTTTGATCCAAAAAAAAAGCCCAGCTTTACTGGTGCTTTTAATTTGAAAGAAGTGACCAGTAAGTTTCCTATTTATTCTGTCTGACTTGACACTGGTAGGAACTTTTTGTCAAACCTCTGCATGTGATCAAACAACGGGCAGGAGCAGCAGCAGCAGCAGCAGCAGGGTAGAAGTCAGTTTGGAAAAAGAAGAAAAAAAACTGTTATTAACGATCACATTTTTTGTGGGAGTTACATGAACACGGCGGTGAAAAGGGAGATTTACTTTTTCATTTGAGTGAGGCAAGTTGCTGAATTATGAATCCCAGCAAAGAATCAAGCACTCCTCTACAGGACTGGACTGAGGAGAAGACCCCCATGGGCCACCCGGCTCCTCCACCCTACCAGGACGCCCCCTACCCCGAGATGCCCCTGCCAGGCCCTGGATACCCTCCACAGCAGGTAACCAGCACAGAAACACGCACAAAGGAGCAAAAAATGTCATCAAACATCACACAGTTTGGCTTTCAGTTGTGTTTCCTTTCACCTAAATGCTGCTAAACATCTGCATTTTAATGCAAATTCCTGCAACAAACAACAAAAATCAACTTTGTATCAATGACAGCATCTGTTCTGTTCTGTTGTATTCTTTTATGTTATTTCCTGATGCAGTGCACCTTGTTTGTCTTAAAGATTTAAAAAAAAAAAAAAAAAAGTTTACATGAAAGAAAACTGTTGATTTGATATGTAGGTTTTGAAATTCTAATACATAAAGTGCTGAAAATGTCTCCTAGAGCTTGTGTTGCCCTGTTAACCATGAAGTGAAACCAGCAGTGGTTGTAGCTGACTGTTAGTGGTGTGGACTTCCTCTCAACACTGGGAGAAGGATCCTCTTAAGAAAGTTCCATTTCTGCATTTTGGGGATTTTTTTTTTTTTTTTTTTGCACCATTTTGTACCTTTTCTGCCCCACTTTATAGTAGAAAACAAAACATTCAAGCACAAGGTGACAATTTCAAATCCAGTGGAACATATTTTTGCAGTGACACTGTGTATCTCTTTAAAATATTTACTGTACTGCAGATCACATTTAATCCAAGATAAGTCAACACACATACAATCATGCTCATCTGTTGTCTTTTGACCTCTTTAAATATGCCACCTATTCATCCATAAATGAACTCACTTATAAATTCACGTGTGTCAGCGAGATTTTTAGCTCTTGTTCAAAAGTTCTTGCACATTCAAAACATGATTTGCTGAAGATTTATTGTTCCACGCCTTAAATCAAAGGTCATGGTATATGGTGTAGTGTAATTCTTCTGGTGATGCCGATTAAAAAAAACTCCATCAGGTCAAGTTAAACTCTTCCTGGATGCCTGAGTTCATGTCCTCTGCTGTTGGTCTTAAACTACAAGTGCTGATTTATCTTACTGATCTGATTGTCAGAACTTGTTGGGAAATGTTTTGATGTCATGTCCACGTTACTCCTCCAAATTGTCTGAATCCACTTACTTTCTCTTTGACAAACCTGCTTTGTTTCATCCAACAATGAGTCTGAATCGTACTTCCTGGCCTGCAGGGTTTTCCTCCACAGTACGGCGGTCCAGCATATGGACATCAGCCGTACCCGATGGCCCAGCAGTATCCAGCTCAGCCCGACACCGTCACCGTCCAGCCCATGGTGTTTGTGTCTGCGGGCCCTCTGGCCAACCCTGTCAACGACTACCTGTGCTACTCCATCTTCACCCTGCTGTGCTGCTTCTGGCCGCTCGGAGTTGCCGCCCTCGTCTACTCCATCTCAGTGAGTTTCTTTAGGTTCTTTGTGGACTCTGGTGCACTGACACCGATACACATTGCAAAATTTCTGACAGAACCAGATCCATGTCAACTGAACAGTGGTTATTTAAAAAACAAAACAGATATGATAAGAAAACCATCCTGCATCACACCTCTGTGTTATTTTACATAGCTGTTCCTGTTTTTCTTTTAAGGCAACAACATTAGAGGCCTTTTTTGATTGCAGTGATGCAATTTTGACATTTTGGGATGTTTTGCTTCTATAATGGGCGGGAGCAGAACATTTCGTGAAGGCATCTCTGATTCCATCTCGCAGGTGTGATGCAGGTGTTAACATGTTTTCTGGTCATCAGTCAGTCGGAGTTGTTTCAACACATTTTTACTCTGGAAGCGTCGCATGCTACTGACACTGACTTGACCAACATGCTGATCTGTTCTATGAGATTCTGGGAAGTAATAAAGAAGCACATA